GGCCACCAAGATGGTCAAGGGATTCCATTACCTGTCATACGAGGATAGATTGCAATCATTTGGACTATATTCTGCTCAGTACCGCCGAAATCGCAGAGACTTGATTTTGACGTATCAAATACTGAAGAACCCAAACCATCCGTGTCGATCGCTTCTCATGTTATCGAACAACGTACACCTAAGGGGACACCGTTTCAAACTACTGATTCCAAAGTCTCGACTGGATTGCCGGCGCCAGTCTTTTGCAGTCAGAGTATGCAAATCTTGGAATGCGCATCCATCTCATGTCGTTTGTGAACCCACTATTGAATCTTTCAAGCAGAGACTCGATTAACCCGTGGCACACCTCACATTCGTACACCACTAAAAGCTAACGCAAATTCATTGAACTCTACATTCTCTATAACTTCCTACCTGGAACTGTATGTGATTTTGTCCGTTGTGAAACGATTCATCTGTGTAAATGTCCTATGGAGACAAGAGAAGCAGGATCTTGTAAGTTATTTCCATAATAAAACTTTGACTTTAACTTTCAGAATCACCCGAGTCAGTAAAAGAAACCGGGTGCATCAAAAGCTATCACCAACAACTTCATTTTTAATTGGCAAATCATTCTGAGGGGAAAATCGCAGAGAATTAAACTTTTGACGAGAGACAAATTTGTGCGTACTTACAGGTTTGCCCCACTGGTCTGCTCAGCATTACTCGCCCTCATCGCATTGTTTCTATTTATTTTGAAGTCATGTTTAATGCTAGTTACATCATTTCTCAGTGATTCGGGGTTATTCTTAGCCTTATTAAATTGTTCATCGGTCTGATTGTCTGCGATCTCCAACAAATATCAACGTACTAACCAAATGTTTTATTAAGCTTGAAACAAAATGAACCAGTGAAAGGACGAAGAACAACATCTGGGACTAGAACCGGGTCGGTTAATCTCTGGAAACTAACCAAGAGGCGTTACATAAAACCCCTGATCCCAAACTAACCAAGAAGAGGTGTACGGTCGACACTCGCACCCTTTTGATCGTGGTAGTGGTCACTGGCTCGATTGGGCCTCGAGGTGTATGGGCACCTTGGATGTTTGACTCCATCAAAATGGCGTATGATCCGATGAACTGGACACCGGCCTCCAATGGATTGTGGTTTCCGCAGAACACCGCACTGCCTTGCGAGTCGGGCTTTGGTTAACCGAAAACTCATCTGTCCTAGCCGGGGCAACCTAGCAGTACCGCACCTTCTAGCAAGTCATGAACCTTTTCTTCTTTTTATAAAGATTTTCGTACCAAGATTTGTTTGCCACAATCTGAATCCAGACGTGCGTGAATATGTATATATCTTACCGAATAATCTCTTTCTGGTTGTGACTTAACTTAGACGCATTGTTTGGAAACTGTGTTCCGGCATTCGCGATGCAAATGTCAGATGCAACCACACTGAATAACGATGAGATAACAACTGTAGATGCATAGACCCTTATTCATTGGATTTTCTTAAGTCGCAATCGTATTGTTCTAATCAGAAATGACATGAACGTGGTCCTGGTGTTTGAATTTGCACCACTATGAGGATCAATGATGTTCTCTCATCTCATATAACACCTTGTAAGATCGCGAGAACTACATCCAATCCAAGACCTATCAAAGGTGTTCCGTTTTACACGCAAACACAGCTATTTCCTGACATTTTCGACCCTAATACGAACACGGCATATTTATTATTATTATTATTATTATTATTATTATTATTATTAATCATTAAACCTCATCTTTCGCAACAGATAACCAATCAGATTATCGCCACTTGCAAACGCTATCTGACCGAGAACCATACTCTGTCCATTTGGGAACAAGACAGTCAGTTGATCATTGAGCGTATGCAAGAATGCATCGAACTAAATCTGGCCTATCAGGAAGCGTATCGAAGCACACGGGAAGAGATGCTCGAATCCGGTGCCCAGCGTGCGTTCAATTTTTCCGAAGTGCAAATTTTCGGAAATATGAATTTGTTCACTCAACGTCTGGAATATTTGACTCGGGTCTTACAAACTCTGATGCAATATGCCACCTTGCGCGAATTCGTTCTGGAAGGTGAGTTTATATTTATGGAACAGGTTCAGAGGTTTGAAGAAAGAAATATTTTTAATTATATCTCATTTTTCTGCACAATTTCTCGATAAATAGCAATAATCTGATCAAATAATGTGGTTAGTGTGGTATCGTGATGAAGATGATTTCTAACTTATTTTGATTGGTAAACTGATTAACTAATATAACAGAAATAAGGAATTCGTCAATATAAAAGTATCGGAACATTCTGGGGTCAATGATTGTTAAAATAAATTATTATTATTATTTTTACAAATGTTGATGTTTCAAAGCTTTGTTAACAAATGATAAAGTGTGGCGGTCGCATTCTGCACCACATGTTGAGAAAGTTTAAACGATGTGCCCGTATCGTCCAGCCATTTGACACCTCTCGTACACCATCAGTGTTATCGTATAACATGCGATATTCCTGTGAGTAAAAATTACAAATATAACACAAACAATGCAATATTTTGCATTCACCAGCCCCGAAGTAAATCAAAATGTGACACCACAAACAAGTGAATGTATACAGAACAATATGCCGTTCTCTGTATCTCTGATTGAGGTTAATCGATCTTGGAATGTGAATACATTCTGAAGATAATAATACCGTTCATAAAAGAGACTCTCTTTAGTACCTACACCTTTTCCCACCAAGCTT